TATTTTAGGAATAACAACGATTAAAGCGGAACTGTGCGTGGATCACGAATAATCTAAACCACGAGTTGATATCGATGCCCATAACTTTGTGCCTTGCTTAGGGCCCCTGTATACTCCTCGCCAACCAACTACAACCCTTAGTATCCCGCCTTTTCTTTGTGTATTTTACAAGAGAAAGAGATACTATTAAGTCGGCTGTGGATGATTTTATTCTTTATTTTTAGCTTTCCTTGGATTTGATGGGTCAAGCCGACCACCAATGGGTTTGATTTACTCCCTCGACCGACCGTTTTCAACGGACCTCCCTTGGTAGCGTGTGCGACGAGGCGGAATTCCGTGGACATCGTCGAATGTACGTAGCAAGTAGCCCCCGGATCGTCATCCAGGCATTACGGAAGGCAGAGCGTCTACATTTTATTTGTTTGTTGTATAAGATTAACAAGGTTGGTGGCGGAAGAGGTGGCGTGCATGTCGATACCGATGCGGGGTTGTTGGAGGTATTAGATCCGGGACCGGAATAGAATGGTGTGAGATGTTACAATTAGTTCCCCCCCGTCCATCCCCTTATACAACCCAGGATACACCCAAACTGAAAAATTCATATCGAATGACGAATATATTTTTGAATAAAATTGGGGACTTCATTGACATTGAAATTACCTTGTCATCTTGAACTCAAAATACGCCACTCACTCCTCCCTTCGCTCATCTCCCCCACTATGTGGTCAGCCATTCGGTGATGGTGGAGCCGAGTCGTGTCATAAAGAAGGTCGAGTAACTCGACTGCCGTCAAATTGACAACCCCTTCCAATTAAAGGTTTGATGAATGGAATCTGGGACATCTGTGTACGGTTGATCCAACCAATGGATATTGGGTAAACTGTCTTCTTCGAATTCACGGGGACTAGTAGAAACAATTTGCTAACCAAGTGCCCGTAGACATCAGAGGCAATTTCCTTTGTAATATTTTGTTCAAGATTCATAACTTTTTCTTCGGGCGTATATCTGGTTTAAATTTAATAAATATATGGTAGTTACTTCGTAAATATCTAGCTGAGTTCTCTCGGTTTTCTTTATCACAGCTCAGCGAGGGGAAAAAATCAACTGACGTTTTATTTTATTTTATTCATTTCATCAATAAAGAAAATTAAATAATTAGCTAACTGTAAAAGATTCCATGTGAGGCGCTTTTCGGAATTCAACAGCCTGAGTACCACACTAAATAGTGACCGAGACCACCAACGTCTCACGAGACATATTTCTGCTATATAGAACAAAAACTATCGCTCATTAGGTTCCATTACATTTCTCGATGAATGATTTTCATTACAGTAGTCGGACATGGACAACAAATTATAGCGTTACTCGTCATGACCGCTTCTCATCTACTTTCTCTTCAGAGTTACTATCCTGAGGCGTTGAGTACGCTCCTTCAATGGTAATAACAGGACCTTTGAACCATTTATGAGCGCTGAGAACCCACCAGCCACCAGCGAATATGAACACAGCCCCGATGATCACGATCGCATAGTCTTTGTAGTTCCGCCCAATTAATATCAATACAATAAACCGAAAGGAAGTCCAATACACTTACTCATTCCAACCGGGGCGGGGTTACTTGCTGGCGGGAATACCAGTAGTGTCGTGATAAATGCAACCCAGCTAACAGCAAGGGCTCCGATGGGAACTGACCAAGAACCGAGGGAAAAGGGCCCAGGAACAAACTTGCTCCTACCAGAAGTTATACGTAAGAATACTGGTGCTACGTAGGAAATGTAAAGCCCTATAACGGAAGCACTGAAAGTGATGTGTTAAAAAGACGCTGTAGATATTGCTATAGGCCAAGGAGGGAGACAGACCCGGCTAACGAAGTCAAAGCAGCTTGTGAGAAGCCTAAAAGACCGCATATAGCAGAACCAGCCTAAATAATATGTTTATTATGTGTTTTCTATTCTCCCAAAATCAGAATTCTTTACCATCACAAACCAAACAGCGTAAACTGGTGTTTGGGTGGTATGGTTGATTTGACGCCAATAGCGAGATCCGGGAAGAGCATTATCGCGTGCAAAAGCATATATGACCCGGGAAGCGTCGACGCCCTGTGCAGCTCCGGTGACGAACTGCCGGTGAATGCACAATGTGAGCGGGCAAGAAATTATGAAGGTACGCCGACCCACCTGTACAACAATAATAAAACTCCATATTGTGAGCATCCCTTTCTTGCCTAAGACATCGAGGAATAGTTGTCCCATAGGCAATGGCAATGTCGTCCCTAGAAGATCCGAGACGGAAGTCGTGGCAAAGGACGCAGCAATCAATATAAGCCATCCTATTGTCGCCGAGTCCGATAGATTATGGATGATGTATATCCCATATCATGGATAGCACAATGGGATCAGGGAAGTAGGGATAGCAACCAACAGATGACAAATCAGCTAAACTGGACACCAACATTCACAAGAGGGAAGAGACGCACCCAGAGCTGCAGTACCAGCAACACCCACAAGAATGGCGATAGGTGCGGCACGAGCAGCACCAGACGTCTCCTCTGAAATGTGAGCAGCCGAATCATCTTCAAAAAGGGGTTAACGGAGTGTATAGGTTCTTAAAATTTTAGAGACATACATCCCGTGAGTGTCCACATGGGCGCTGTGAAAGAAAGCAAGAAGGCCCATCCATCTCATTATTACGCATATTAGTGGATGGCTGCGCAACATTGCAAAAAATTGTTCATACTGTTCGTCCATCCAGAATTGTTTTCGAACAACGTCCATGCATCTTTTGTTGAGACTTTATTATTTCCAGAGACGACTAACAATGCCACAATTGCTGCGATACTTGTCCCAACTATAATGATATCAGAATGTGCCCCCCAGAACAAAATCAGCGTACCGTTTACGAGCACATAAAATAAATTAAGCCGTGCAAGAACCTTTGTGGCAGCGCTGCATACTATCCCATGCACAAATAATATTGCAAGTAGAATACCAAATGTTGGCCCAGCACCAAGGTCGACAGCACCATCAGATCCCACAGCTATCGCAGATGTTATCATTTGTGCGCTGCAGGATTAAAAGGAGGAATCATCGTAGTGATTGTATATAAATTGATCAGAAAAATAGGGAATGCGTTTGACTGGAAAAGAAAATGTACCATGTAAAATCGATGGAACATACAAGTGTGATTTGTCCCGTGATGTTAGCCCAGGCCGTGAACCAGCTTGCAAGAGGGCCCCATGGTTCAGGGGCCATCTTTGCTGCAAAATAATACAGACCAGCACTCGTTCTATGCCCTGGTTAGCCCATACGCCAGTGATTCGCAATTGAACGTACGGCATAGATGACGCAAGCTCCGCGAGGGAAGCGGCGACTGCCATGACAAATACAGAGGGAATAAACCAGCCCCAGACCATACCAACATGTCCCCCTCAATTTCTATGTTCAATACTGAAGCCTACTTTAGTTGCAAGAGACATACCAGATATTAAACCGAAGGAAAACGTTGACGAGACGGAGGCGATTACCCCCATAATGCTAAAGGCAAAGGCGATGGTCTCTACAAGCTATAGAGAACCATGGAGTTGGACATTAATCCTACCAGACTTGATAGACTTCCACTTGATAGAGTTCCACTTACAGAGAATTCTCGTCTGAATTCACCTTTATAGCCGAGCTTTGCGAGAAGCATGTCGTCATCATTCACTAGAGATCTCACGTCGTTTCTAGCCTTGTCGCCAACATGCTTCTCCGTGGTAGACATAATGGACGCACGCAATGGAACGGGATAAGGAGTTGAACGCGTGAGAAGCGAGCTATGGTATCGATGATGTACACGAGCACTAAGGGTCAGGGGAGTGAACCTCCCAAAGAGGGAATGCTGCCAAGGAGTGATAACGCAAGCAAAACCCGCACAGATTATTTTGGGTCCCGATTATCTGCAGCTGTCTTGCATTTCTTAGATTTTACTTCTGTCAAGCATGTTTAGACGTCTAGTATGTGTCCGATAAGAGCTTACTTGATAGTGCTGAAAATTACGCGCAACTTGATAGGCTGCGCCAAGTAGAATGTGGGATAATGTTTGGACGCTTAGTACGCTCCTTCAGGAACACCCTACAGGCGCTGTGCCATAGGAACCTGACTGATTTGAAAAACCTAACTAGGTATCCAACGACGGTCTTAATTTGTACACTACGGGTTAAGGTATTTCCGAAAATATTTCCTGTATATGTAGACTTTTAATGTAATAGATAGCGCCAATCAAATCCACACTGTATCGAGACAAACAAGCACTATTATAGATACTTAAGCAATAGATATCACAGTATACTTACAACCACAATATTCCTCTCCTTCAACAAGACGCCGCCAGGTCTCGTCAGGTCCATTTCCAAGCGATTTGATTTCGATAGCATCTATGCAGCGCGATATGTGCGCTCTAGGCACCCCGAGACGCATATAGTGGGTAAATATAGCTTCTTCAGCCCTTGATCAAGATATGCAACCAGAGTTAATCCAAATGGAGACATCAGACAGCATTTACCATTGAATTTTCGATCCCACATCTTGACCTGATATTCGAACAGATTGTGTGTCTAAAAAAATAACAGTGCGATAAACATTATTTGTTCATTGACCTAGTCTATCTAAGTCTCGAGCCCACTTTACTTGCCGGAAGTAGAATAAACGGAAAAAACCGCCAAATTGAGAAGGCTACTTAATATAAGCAATTGCCAAAGAAATTTCAACTTGTTCTTTTTAGATACAAATGAATCTACCCCTTTTTTCATGCATCAGGATGATGGTTCTGCAAAAAGGTTCATTTAGTATCCGCAGACCAATTCCCAACCTGGAGGTAGAAAAATTCGGGTAGTCTTGTTATAATTGGAAAATACAATATCTATCTGGCTGTATGTATTTGTGTGTGCAGAGAGACCTATATTTGCATATGATACAGTTGATCCTATATATGTATATAACTCATCATATAACACTAGACCATGAGGTCCAGTAGCTCAGTGGTTAGAGCACTGGTATATATAGCCAGGAAGTTCTTGGTTTGATCCCAGATTGGGTCAATTTTATTCTATATGTACCTTTAACAAGTCTCACTGAAGTTGTAAGTACTCAACCCCGAATCCCACTCTGTCCATATTTCTTCTTCTAATAGATGAACTAATTTATCTACAGTCGATTAGGTCATAATGCACAAGGTCATAATGCATAAATCTAATAATGCATTGGGTTGTATAGGGAACGATGTTGGTACACAGGGAAAATGAATACATAATGCATAGGCCGAGGACGGCAATATGCATTACTACAGGGAGAGAAATTAAGGTTTCGGAACTGTAATTACCTTGATTGAGGCACAGCTTTCACCGGCTGCTTAGGTTTGAATTAAATAGGCTGTACTATTCATACAAATGCCAGTATTGCGCTAAGGCTGGGGCGTCAGGCATGTCAGGGTGGCCTGTTTCCTTCTCTCTTCATCCTACACTGATTGAACCTCCTCTCTCTTTCCTCCAGGAGGTGCGTGTATGATTTCCTTCTCTCCTCATCCTCCTCTGATTGGCATTCTCTCTTTCCTGCAGTGAGTGCATGTACCCTTTCTTTCTCTCTCTCTCCATCCTCCTCTCTGTTTCCTCCAGGTTGTTCTCTTTCCACCCTCCGCTGATTGGCATCCTCTCTCTGTCCAGCAGGTGTGTGTCCTATTTCCTTCTCTCTTCATCCTACTCTGATTGAACCACCTCTCTCTTTCCTCCAGGAGGTGTGTGTGTTATGACCGTGTTGCAACCCTATCGGTCCCGAGGTTATCACCACTTGTCAACGTTTCAAGTCATCCTCTCGGAAACCATCAGCCCCGAAGCTGACGAATGTTTTCATGAAGATCAAACTCCATTTATGCCCACGTCAAAATAACTCGTATTGTCTGGTCAAACTTTGATACGTCCCCTTTATTATGTTGATCCGTCCAATCTTATGTTTCACATATGTCTATCTATATTTGTAGTCCTTGAACTATTTCCTTTTATCGTAATCCCGCTCTCAGTTATCATCGGCCTCCGAACTAATCATAAACCTCCCGTTCCTAGTCAAGCTTATTGTTAATACCGTGTTCTGCCCTTCTCCCCATTAGTATTTTCCAGACGCCTGTTACTTGTATATGAACCCGCTGTAGTTGTAGTCACTAGGCAATCAGAATATCGACTCAGAATACCCTCATACGCCTGTATCAGTCTCATACTAAGAATCCCCCCATCCACCTTCGCGTGCGCTCGCCCACTCCCAGCCCCAACCCCTTGGCCCGACGCTCGACTTGTCCTTCGATTCCGATCGGTATCACGCCGAAAGGTACTCGTTAGGATTAGTCTTCGCCCGCCCGAAATTTAAGGACATCCTACGGATATTTGCGAGGGCGCAGCACATAAGCTGAAGCCAAGTCCTTCCGATCGGTCCCTGTCGGCCACCGACATTAGTCAGTTTTCAGTTCTTAACAGTGTGTATGAATGGAATATACATTTACATATTATCAATGGTTTCCAATCTAGAGAAAAATATAGTAGACAACCTATTACCTTCTTGAAACTAAATCACTGTTGAAATTGTCTTTTTGCAAAAAATAATATTCTAATCCATAAACAACCATTTTAATTGTATATGTCACATGTTGTCACACACGTGTGACACTTCTGGTGTTGCATAAATCTCATAATGCATTGGCTGAGGGTGGGGATGAGCATTATGCATTATGACCTAATCAACTGTATCTGCATATTACACCAAAAGCAAAAAGGATAGATTACTTTATACATAGTTCTCCAAGGCAGCAAAAACTGACAAGTTCCTGAAACCTATTATAACTACCAATTGATCATACATTAGGGAGAAAGGATGGTTCATAAAACATATCATGCCAAAATTGACAGACTAGTAAACAGGGAGTATTGGAAAATATTGGACTGACCAGGAATTGAACCTGGGCCATCTGTAATCTAGATGACTAAGCTGTGACAGTCACCCCTCTGCACTGAGTCCAGGCTGTCAACCAACCATATCCAACAGGAAGAATATGTGTAGACATTCTGGTTAGGTGTTCTCAGGGTTTTTTGGCCTCCTGTTTTTTCTTGAAATTACGAACTCAATATTGTGACCTATAGGAAGTAGTGAGGCGAGTACCATTAAGTACCCGAATGCATGGTTGAAATACCACCAGGCTTTCGAAACCATAGGGCTCAGGCTTATCTGCCTAGTAGTTAATTATTGAATGAAACGAGTACATATGTATATAGCAATGAGGACACACATTTCGAAAGACGGCAACGAAGCATATAATAAACTATTGGAACATCCTGACACATATACCCATGATTCTGCCGCTAAGAAAGAAAATCACTATTTAGCTACAGACGAATTTGATTTCCCAATGGAATGGCAGGCCCTGGAATCACAATCACTCAATTTCTAATGGCATCCGAGTATAAACCCTAAAAAGCAATAAAGAAAGTGATGCCACCTCTTTACTACGTCACAAGGTAGGTTTGACAAATAATTTAGTGATCGAGTACATATATAAGCTTTCCAACGTTAGGACCTCCGTTGCAACAACCTGTATGCCTCCCCCGCTTAATTTTCTTGGGATCAGCTCACTTTCCAGGGACTTTAAAGTGACTTTATAAGTAATCAGTTGAAGCATTAGCAGTATTGACAAGCCTTAAAAGAACTATTTTACTTCCATTACCGGAAATGATTGAACTGATCTAGCGCATTCACTAATAGCCTGAGCAACATGGCTAATTCATGCACTGGTCGTTTCCTCTAGACATATCTTATAACAAATCTCCGGCAGACCCCTTCACTATGCCATAAGGATCAGATTGCCGGAACCGCCGAGGCAGCTAGGATCACAGAAAGTCAAAATGTAATTTTCTACCAAGGCACATTCTTATTTCCAGGGCATAATCCTTTGAAATGACTGTAAGCTGACGAATCGGCTTCTTTCCGTGTTTCTCACATTGTTAGTATTCCTCCCATCACTCTATGATCGTCGATCACTTCGCAAACCTTGTCTTGATAATAGATCCGACCCGAAAAATCTTCTAAACGTCACCTCAAACTCATTTGATTCGTACATCGCCCCTATACAGACATTTTGAATCTATATGAGTCATAAAGATTCTCTCGTATTTAGGTTTGACACGTATTCTACTCTGTTCGCCGCATAATAACACCCCATTCCGCCGTAATAATTACACCTTCTTGTGGGAGCATGTCCACATCAATCGACATTGTGCAGGTTTACCGTGGGAGACTTCCTTTCGATAAAGCCTGAAACACTGCTTACCCGTTGCCCCTCATAGTCCCATCGACTTAATATACCACAGAATAGTCGCAAACGCGGAAAGTCACCATTTAGGTGCTAACTCGTTCCATACCCTTACGGACTTCCTCCTCCCAATCTGTGAATAGCCAAACAGCGACGTACTCTCCGATCCCTACAAGAAACAAAGCAACAACCTGACCAATCCATAGCCCAGAAAGACCTTTACAAAAGAAAACGATTATAAGCCGAACTGGGATCAATGCCTTAGAGTCCAACCTTGATCATAGATGAAAGCAAGTGTCAGGCCAAGTGGAAGGGCAAGGACATAGTAGGCCACCAGATTAAACACTGCTCCAAGGTGCTGCCTTCCCTGACCACGAAGGACGCCACCACACGAATTCGCGAGGCCATCAGCAACCTTTAGTCAAGATAATTAGCCACGATCCTTGACGATCGACGGTAAAAACGCAACACACTTGGAATGACGCTACCAATGGCATAATTTTAGCCACAAGTTGGACAACGTCTATATCATTGCTGAAAAGTAATCCAAAGTACTAGAAGGTGAGGTTAATTTTTCTGTGCCTTATCATAAAGGAGATCAAATGACATTTCTTGACATGAGCAGAATTGCCATGATAACGCTCCCAACGCAGACACTCAAGAATGCGGCGGCATGGGCAGAAAGACGAGCATGTATTGGTCTCCTCGCTCCAATCAGGTTTCCAATGCGCGCTGATGCGGACACAGAGAGCCCAAAAGGTATAGTATTCAGAACTATGATAGGAAACAGATTAGCCAAGGCGATAGACGACAGACAAATTATTTTACTTAGACTTACTCTGATCTGCGGTCATCACAACGCCCTGAGCAGCTATTGGCAGTTTTCCGAGTCTGCCAGCAGCGAGTGCAACTATTTCAAATGCCCACCACTCAGTCGCGACCATGAGAATGCCAGGCAATGCAAGACGCAAAAATCCCCACATAGGTCCTGGTGCTAACACCTTGCGTAGAGACAACAGGAAGAGACCGAGTCTGTTGATTTATTAATGGCGAACGAAGCGGCATCAGAGGGGGCAGAGCCCCAAATATCGCATGTCACATCATCGGCCTCGGGGAGTGGTGGACCAGGTCCCCAACGTGCGTAAGCGATTAATAAAAGGAAAGATAGATTATATGTTATTGATATGGCCACAGGGGCGCCGATAAAACCTAGCCGTGTGCGGTGAACCAGAAGGTAAGATAGAAGGGCGTTAAGCGGAGACATTATTAACAGAACCATGGTTGATGCGTGCATTATTCCTGTTAGTATGGTCATAAGGCAAGTATCAGAAAATCAGTAATAAAAAAAGGCCTAACAACCGTACCTTGACATTGTAGGTATTTTTTAATACTTTCAAAACCAACATACGCTGGGGCGCCAAATATTAGAACACGTAAGAAGGCTTGAACGTCATAGCTCAGCCTCTCCTCTTGTCCCAAGAACAACAGAATTGGGCCAGCGAAACACCATAAAATAAGGACAGGTATGAGAAGGGCCCAAAGCAACACGATGCAGCGAAATAAATGCGGGAGAATAGATGTGGGATTTCTACCAGAGAAGGTAAACGATTGGGAACCCAAGGTATCCAGTGCTGTTGTCCCGCCTAACGCTATGCACCAACCTATAGACTAAAAGTTAATAATAACAGTGGGTAATAATCATGAAATATTCAATATGCCTGTCACAGTGGCCAGCATCATCGTGAATGCTGC